CCCCGGCTGCTCCTGCGGGTCACTTACAGGCCATGAGAATTTTGTCAAGGTAGCTGCAGTCTAAGGGGGGAAAAAAAACCTTTTCCTCTCCTTTCCTCACTTTCAGCCGCTGGTGACGCCATAAATTCCCTGCTTCTCTGGTTACTGTAAAGCCTTTCAGGGTGGTCAGGACCTGAATTTCTCACCCAAAAGAGCAAGCAGGGAAAAAGGAAGCTTTGCAAGCAAAGACCTTCCCTCCTGCAGGGATTCGTTGTGAGGAATCAGTGGGCTCGCAGTGTGAGCTCTTGATTTGCAGCCCCTCAGCTGCAGGCCTCTTGGGTAACTCTCCTCTCATCAGTAAATGTCCTCCGCTCAGCCCTGCCTGGCTCCTTGGCCCCTCTGACCTGCAGGCTCTCTGGTTTGCTATTGCATTTCAGCTTTGTGGTAACCAGGAGAGGCAGAGCTCATCCAGCATCACACAGCATGGAGATGGCACAGGGTTCTGCTAAGCAAAGGGCCCAGCTGGTTTTACCCACTGCCCTGAGCTGTGGAGCATTGATCCTCCACCTGATAGCCCCAACTCCATCCTGGACCTGAACTCCATCCTCAGCATAGCACACCAGTGGGCTGCTGTGCCACCCCACACCAACCAGCTTCACATAAGGGCTCTGCTGAGATGTCAGGGAGAAGATCAACAGGGAAATGGCAGCAAAGTGTCATTGCAACCAGAGAAGATGCTTGCTAATGGGATTGCTCCACCACAGAGCAGGACACAGATGTGTCACTCTGCAGAAAGCCATGGTGAGCACCTCTGCTAACCCCACACCAAGCACTTGTGAGAGGAGTAAATACTTCTCCAGCACCCTGCACTGAGGAGAAGGGCTTCCAGTGCTAGCAGCCCCAAGCAGGGACAACCACAGTGTGAAAACCCAGAGAGTTTGGATATGGTTTAAAAAGTAATGTAAAAGAAAGGGACAAAACAATGTGGAGGCTTCATCTCCCTGGTGTTTCCAGTCTTCCCATGCTTGGACATCTTTCTACAGCTACAGATTGAAAATTCATCTTCTCTTTCGATAGATCTCCTGATTCCATGACTCCAGAAGCATGGAGATTCAAGGAAGAGCTATTGCATGTCATGAACCAGAAAATCCTCCCACCAGAGCGGGGCTCCCAGGAGCCAGCCTGGCTTGGGAGCCAGCGCCTGGGCTGAGAGGCTCCGGGTGTTGGGAGAGGATCAAAAAGCTCCCCTGGCAGTAAATCTTTCCCCTGCTGTGGTACTCAGTGGGGCTTGTGGCCGTTCCTCCGAGGTCGGCCCCGGGTCAGGATTTCTCCTGTCTCCTTAACCCCCAAACCTGGAGATTTTTGTCTTATCTTTGACGCCATCTTGACACCGAAAACAAATTATAGCCCAATTACCCTTGCTGAGCGGCGCTGGGGCTACCTTAAATGGCCAGAACCATCAGGCGCTTCCTTAAGCAGGGGTAATTAGAGTTGAGGGGAGCCCTAGCATGGGGTTGCCCTTCTCCCCCCCTGCTTGCCATGGCTGGAGGGGGCATCCCATCCATCCCCATCCCACCCCATCCAACCTACTCATTCTGGCCCAGCCATGCTGCATGCCTGGGCTCCGGAAGGGCCACAGTAGAGTCCAGGCAGTGTCCAGGGGTTCCCCCCACCCGAATGCCTCCACCAGCCCCATGTCAGTGGCCAGAGAGGCCGGTGATGGGAGGCAGCAGTCCTGGCCCTGGCCATGACCTTCACATCTGGGGACCTCTCATCCAGAGCAGGGACATTTCCCTGCTCAGCCCAAGGAAGTAGCAAGCAGCAGCATCACGGCCGTCCTGCTGTAACAACTAATATGAAACATTAAACATGTCTTTTTCTTCCCTTATTCCAGGGACATTAAAGCTGTGTGAAGGTGTTTCTTGCCTGGGTTCTTCTCTGGTGGCAGCCGTTTTGGGAGCCAACAAGCACTGAGCTGGGCCCCAGTCTGTGCTCATCTGGGATCTGCTGCTCCAGTCCCTCTGCTCATGGGAAGTGTGTGCAGAGCCGGGTCTCTTCCAGGATCCATCCCATGGAGCAGGGAAGTGGAGCTGTGCAGCGATATGGGACACCCTCCTAGCCCTGCAGGTTTGCTGTGGGTGCCCTCTGAGCGGGTGGCTGGGTTGGGTGTTTCTTTCCCTTTTTTCTCTTTTTTTTTCCTCTTTTTTCTTCTTTTTTGGCAGATTGGTATTTTATTTGGCTCCATTCTGTCTACCGAGCTGTCCAGTGTAACCCTTCCCTTGCTGCTCCCGAGATAAGAATAGGCTCCCCCGAGATCAGATAAACAGGCCCATAAATACCTACAACAACAAGAAGCAGGGACTGGGCTTGGCAGGAAGGGAGGGGAAAAAAAAAAGGGGGGGGGGGGGAACATTTATTTGCACGTAAACCCCAGGGGTGGGAAGAGCCCGATGACCAAGCAGGGCAGCAGGGTCCCCTCCATGGACCCTCGCAGCTGGATTCCAGTGGCAGGGGACAAGGCACGTATGATGCTGCCCAGGGGCCAAGCGATCTCTGTGTGCGTGTGCTTCTATCCAGGCAACTGCAGATTGAATCCTGCATGCCGGGAGTGCGCTGCTTCCCAACAGCATCAAGTTCACGGCAGGGTCGAGCTGTAGCTGTGTGCTGAGCCACCTCCCCTGGTGATGAGTGAGGCTTTCAGACGGCCAAAACCTCAAAGCTGGTGATCAAACTGTTCTTCTTCCACTAAGGATCGATGCAGCAAGTCCCGGGAGCCCTACTTCTGCCTGCCGGGATGCTGCTGGGATGCAGCTCCCAGCTGCACGGGTTTGCTGCCTGAGGAAGTGAAGCTGTCCCTGTGCACAGCTCCCACCCCCCTGCAGCTCCTTTCCCTTTGGGGTGAAGGGGTGACCCCATCCTAAGCTGCTGAGCTCAGCATCAACACCCTTCCCAGACTCAGAGATGAGGCAGGGATGGAGCTCACTGCTTGCAGATAAACCACTTCTAAAGCATGGGGTCTGGGGAGCGGCAAAGCCCAGGGAACAGGAATTGCTCAGTGCTCTTTTTCACCCATCCTACCCCAAAATGCTAAGCTGGTGTCTTGCAGGAAAATGCCCTTGCTGGGCAAGAAATCCCTCTGCAGATGGAAACAGAGAGAGTGTTTTCCCTTCCAGAATCACAACGAAGTGAGGGAGGCTGGTGTGGACTTTCCCAGAAGTTTACCAGCAGGTACCACCACCAGAATATCGTGGTAAGAAAAACAGCAGCCAGTGGATGCAGGCAGAGCATCGCCAGGCTCTGCAGGGTGCCCCTTTTCCAGAAGGAAAGCTGGAAACTCATAGGGAAAAAACACCAGAGGTTCTCAGTGAGGTAGAGGAGGGTCCGCAGGCTGCAAACCATGTTTGTGGTGTGCCAGGACTGAGGGCACTGACTTCTGTGCAGAACTCCCAGCCCCATGCAGCAGAGCAAATCCTAGGTCCCCCCATTAACCCTTTCTCTTATCTGAAGAGAGCAGCCCCAACCAATGCCATACGGATGCAGGCACATGTAACCAGGATTGGTGCTGGACACATTTACAGTGTGCTGGGTTAGTGTTAGCGATGGCTTGGGAGCCTTCCTGTAAAAGCCCAGTACTTTTAGGGACCATGAAACCCAGCCACAAAATAGGATATTTGGGGTTTATTTACTGCATTTTATTTTTCCCTTCTTTTTTTCCCCTTTAAATGTATTTGGGTTTAGGAATGTCCTGTTCTAAATCCACTCATGGCTTCGGTGCCATGCTGAACTTCTTATAGCCCAAACAAAACTGAAACTCCATCAGTGCAGCACTGCTGCACTCAAGCAGTCAGTCCATCCTCATCTCCACCTCATTCAAAGGGATCAAAAAACACATCGGGAAAGCAGCGGTGCAGCAGCTGCCAAACGCGAGGAGGCTGATTCCCGCAGCCTGATTGTTCAAGGAACTCTAATTGCATCCCAAAGCATTTATGTGTCCATCGGTCTGTATTTGTACACACACACAAAGTGGCTACAAAACCCAAGCTGCTTCCCCACTGGTGAGCTGCTGTGGTTTTGGTGTGTGTGGCTCCACACGCACAGATTGATGGATCTATCGGTGATTTACTGATGTTGCATCACTATTTCTATACCTTTAGACGCAAACAAAAGCTGGGACTCAAATAGAAAATGTAAATGCTCCCTGCTGAGCCCTCGGATTAACCTTCCAACCCCGTGCTGGTTCTCTTTGCCCTGAGCAGCTGGATGAGTGTCCGGGTCTATCCTGGTGTTCCTGGGACCAGCGGTGTGGCAAGGCAGGATCAGGCCCTGACGGCGTTTGGGAAATGCTGGGTAACAGAGCTGAGTGTGTACAGAATAAAGGAATGAAGTTTCATCTTTAACCATTAAGGATTATTAAGGATTTAATCCTAAGAGGTGACAGAGAGGACTTTGGGCTGTTTGAGCATTGGTGTGTCTGAGGCTGGTGGTATCCATGTGTTTGATGGTGAGGGGGGAATGTTGCTCCTTCAAAATGCAGCTGAGGCAGCAGCTAAGAGGGGATCCCTGTGAGAATGGAGTCGGGAGCTGCCGGGGCAGGGAAGGGAGCTGAGCCCTGGTTCTTTACACTCAGCAGCATTAAAACAGGGGCTCCACAGCTCTGCGGTGCTCGCGCCGTCCAGACGCTGTAAAGGCCTGATCCTGCCATCCTTCCCCATGCCAAATACAAGTCCGGTCCCTTTAGCAGGTCTCCAGGGTGAGGAGGAAAAGGGGTTGTAAGGCAGTGGCAGTTTTGTGCTCAGGAATGAAGAGCGGGTACCCTTCACAGAGCCCACCAACTCCTGGGGTGAGCAAGCACGGCATGAACAACTCTCAAAGGATCCTACGGGAGGGAATTCCCTCGCATGGATCGGCTCCATAGCAAGGTACTGATTTCAGGGGAGTCCTTAATCCCTCAGTATCCGTTATCCCGGCAAAGAGCGGGATCTGAGCAGGCGGGGATGGCGCAGGGGTCGGAGCCGAGGCTGTTTGCATAGAGTTTGTATTTTATTTCATGGTTTTGTTAATTATTCCGTTTTAAATACGTGGTGCGGCGCGCTCGGTCCCTCGGGAAGTGGTCATGCAGATCTGAGGTAGAAAACCCGGCACAGGAGTGTTCCCAAATGCACCTCTAGGTAGTTTCACCGCAGCCACACGTCGGTCAGGCAGCGGACGGGGACAGGGTTTGGGGGCTCGTATTTACAACAGCAAACGAACTAAACCGCTTCAGCCCGGCCAGGGGGGGCAGGAGCCGCCGATCGTGCTGGCAGCGGGAAGGAGCAACGATTACTGCAAACAGGGGAAGGGGCGAGGGAGGGAATAACCCGGCCGGCCCCCGGTGCCGACGGGACAGGCAGGATCCGGCCCCGCAGGGCGCCCGTCGCTTGTATCCCGCGGAGCATCGGCCTCGGCGGGGGCAACAGGGCCCGGGCTGGCTCCGGGGGCCGGGCCGGGCTCTCTCCGGCATTGCACATGGAGGGGCGAGCGGGGAGCGCCGTCGTGGGAAAGCCCTCAGGGGTTCAGTTCCAGGGCCCAGACCTGCTGGGGCCAGCCCGTCCGGCCCTTCAGCTTCTTCTCGCCGTGGCCCAAAGGCTGCGAGTAGACCTCGGGCTGCTGCGGGAGAGGAGACGGGGAGAAGGGGGAGAGAGGAGCGGTCAGAGGGAGCGGGGGCCCGGGCACCTGGTGCCCGCCTCGGGGCTGCAGCCGAGCCCGCGGTTCCTACCAGCCCGAGGATAAAACAGGAGGTTTTTGGAGTTCCCATCCCTGCACCCCGCCCGCTGCGGCGGGGGAAAAGCGGCCGCCCTTGCCCCAGAATGCGCCCGCTCCTCCCTGGAAAGCGGCCGGGAGAGGGGACGGAGGGACCGGGGGTTCATCCCTCGGGAAAAGCGGCCGGGAGCCGGGATGGGCTTTCCCTCCTGCGGGTGTTTGGTTTTAAGATGGGAAAAAGAAGGGCTCCAGCGGGACCGGGAAGGGCGTTTTTCCCGCAGCCCCGTGGCTTTCCTTGCCCGCTCCCAGCCCCGGGCAGCGGGGTCCCGACTCGCTTCTTACCGTCTCCCTTTTCCTCTTGTTCTCCCTGCCGTCGGCCTTCTTGAGCTCGGCTTTGAAGCCCTCGGTGTCCCCGGGCTGGCTGTCCTTAGCCAGCACCTCCATCAGGTAGGCGATGTAGCTGGTGGCCAGGCGCAAGGTCTTGATCTTGGATAGTTTGGTGTCTGCGGGCACGTTGGGGATGCACTCTCGGAGCTCGGCGAAGGCGCTGTTGATGCTCTCCGTCCTCCGCCGCTCTTTCTTGGGTCCCCCGACCCCTTTCCTCCGGCCCAGGCGACCGCTGAGAGCCTCCAGCCGCCCCGGGCCGGCGGGGCCGTACTCGGCGGCGCCGTAACTCGGGCTCTGGCCCGGGAGCTCGGGGGTCACCTCGGCCGGGCTCAGCACCCAGCCGGGGAAATAGGCTCGCTCCTGGTGGCACCGCGCCGCCGGCCCGAGGAGGAAGGGGTCGTGCAGCATGGGGTGGTGGTGGTGGTGGTGGTGCTGGTAGCCCCCTACCAGGTTCATGGTCCGCCCCGCTGGCCCCGGGGGCCGCGCTCAGCAGCGCACCATAGCCGGGAAGGGCTCCCCACCGGGCGGGCAGCGGGGAGGCGGCTCCGGCGAGGGGCTGCGGTGATGGTGGTGGTAGCTTTGGGGTTTGGGCTGAGGCGGACGAGGTTTGGGGTTTTGGGTTCTTTGGGGTGGGTTTTTTCCTTTTTTTTTTCCCCTATTAACCCCTCCTGAGGCCTCCCAGACGTTATATAGGGCCGGGTCCCCCCCCCGCCGCGGAGCCAATGGGCAGGGGAGGATGCTCGGGGGCCCCGGGGGGAGCGGGCGGCGAAGGGGGCGTGCGCCGCTCTGTCGAGTCGGTTTATTTGGGCTCACACCTCCGCTGTTCGCTCTTCCCCCCCGCTTGCTCCCTGCTTGCAAGGAGAAGGGGGAGAGGAGCGACCCGAGGGGGGACCCCAATTCCCGCTCCCTCGCGCTTCCATCCCTTCCGCTTCCCCGTTCCCAGGGCACGGTTCTCGGGCAGTGCGGCGGGCTCGGAGCACCCCGAGCCGGGCATGAGCAGCCTCATGGGTGATGGAGGAGAGGGGCAGGAGAAGGCACTGGGGAGACCACGGGCTGGGCATGGCAGGGTGAGGGCAGGGGGTGTTCCTTCCACGTGGGGTACATTGCCCATGCATGCCCTGTGTGCATGCGGATGCTGTGCTGCACAGAGATGCACACTACACGCGTGTACAGCACACGTATGCATTTAGAGCACACACATATGTTACTCAGACTCACTGGATGTTGCCTGCACATCCCATAAACATAGACATGAGCCCACACTGTACTCCTGTCTGTGCTGTACACACACACACCACAAATAGATTGCACACATGCACTTAACTGCACCCGTATATGTTACGTACACCCACCAGCAGCACACATACGGTACACACACAATGTCATCATACTTATATTACATGCACACACATGCTGTGCATGCTCACACACATGTTGGATGTACGGCATATAAACACACACGTATACTATACAGCCATGCACAGACACTGCACATGCATACATAAATATATAGAGATTATACTGTCCACACACACAAATGCACTTACAACAGAGCACAGGGGCCCTGCCTTGTGATCCCCTGTCCCAGCCTGGCCACCAAAGGGATGGAGGGGGTCCCATCGGGGCTGGGGTCTTGTACTTCATGCTGCCCCAAACCCAGCGTGGGGCCCTGCAATGGGCAGCACATCCCACTCGCCTCTGCACCCATGGGATGCAGATCCCTGAGGTGATGCCTCCCAGACCCCGCTCTGTCAGTTGACATTGGGAACGACCCCTGCTCTCACTCCCATTACTCCCAGTGCGGACACTGGGCACGGCGGTGGCGATCACAGCGTGGCGGGGCAGGAAGGGGCTTCGGGCCCGAGGTATGTTAGCGATTAACGGCGCTTTGCAGCGATTCATCTTGCAGCAGAGGGTGGAAACGTTGGAGGGTTGTTTGCAGGCGCTTGTATTAATCATCCGGGCTAACACACCATTAACGTCCTCCTGCATTTTAAAGATGACAAATTTTATTTGACTTCTCTCAATCACGGTTCCCGGGCGGATTCGGGAGCCACTTAAATGCCTCGGATTTTCCATCGTTAGCTGTTACAAGGCGAGCTGCAAAGGCAGGAGGCCGGGGGGGGCCGGGGCAGGGTGCAAGGGGGTCTCCGGCAGCCAGGGGCCTTGGGGGGGGGGGGGGGGGAAGCGGCCATAATGGATCAGCCCAACCTTGCTCCCCCCTGCTTTGTTCTTAGCTGCTGCAAAGCCCACCCCCCCCTTCCCACCCCCTTTAAACAAGCGCCCTGCAAACATTTGCTAGTGATTACTCTTGTTAGAGTCAGGCCTTGGGCAGGGTGTTGTGTCCCTGATTGCCTCCAAAACACCCATGGTTGGGTGGGATCCCTGAGCCCAGCTTAAAGCTGGTGGGGACCACTGCCTATCTAAGGGACCGTTCAGAGGTCCTCCTTCATCCCTCACCTGCCCCCCCGTATAAGCAGAGCATCACCTGCAGCGCCTTGCTGCCTCTCATCAGCTACCCAAGCTCTTCTCTGAACCTCTTCTCATCCTTGTATAAGCCCTGATCCACCGAACCACCAGGCTGGTGTCTGTGCCACCCAACCCTATTCCTGCAAAACACCCCCCTCACCCCAAAAACAGCCCTTCCCTCCCCATAGCCCTGCATTGCACAGCCACGTCCAGTTTGGAGCCATCGCCTCGAGCTGTGCACCAGAGCCACCTCCAGCCTTTGAGCCAGGTAAGCACAGCCCAAGCCCGGGCATTATCTTGCTTTATTCACCACCCTTCAAGGTCCCTGGACCCTGAACAGCTTGGAAGTGCTCAGCTGAGCAAATAGTGGGACCCACGGCTTGATTTTCCCTTGGAAAATCATTCTAATCTTTCGTGTTTTAATAAAATAATAAAACCAGAGCCCTTTTCACGCTGGCACCTTCTAAATCAAACCAGGCTGCCTTGGTCGTGGCGTCCAAATTTAGCACTTCTCCAACTTTTGGTGAGTTCCTTTAATTTCACTTCTCCCTACTTGTGCAGGGGGGAGGAACGCCAAGCGGTTCGGATTAGGGGATTTATGGCTGGTGGGGCGGGAGGAACCACGTTTCTCTCCACCTGTTTTCCTTCAAATCCTTCCCAGGGAAAGATTTCCTGACCCTTGATGATGGTGACGGGGGTGTCAGTGCCACATGTTGGGGGGTGAGGCTATCCCGGGTCTCTGCACCCTCCTGCACCCCAATCCCAGTAGGATGGATCCACATCCATCCCCTGCCCTGGGATGGGGCCATGGTTTTGGCCCCGGCCCCTCAGCTACCTCCTTATCAGTGCCCGGCAGCCCAGGGTGTCCTGTGACTTTGACGCCAGCTCTGCTCCCTCCCTCCCCGGCTCCCTTATCTAAATAGGAGCGTAAATCAGTGCCTTGGCAGATGCCCTGGCAGGACAGGGACTTCATAAAAAGGGGCTCTGCTCCAGCTCTGTTTACATTGCAGCCCCGTAAAATATTCTCCTTGTCTTCCCTGCAGCATCCCGGCACCTTCCTGCACCCGCATCCCCCCTCCGCAGGCTCCACCACAGGGTACAGCCAGGAAGGTCCCAGTCCCAACACCCCATGGTACCCCATTGGGTACCCCAACAGGTTATGCTCAGAGGTACCTCTATACCCTGCGATCCCCCCCTCCAACAGCAGAAGCTAAGCCAGCTCCCCCGGGCAGCTGGGTTGTGTCTAAAGGTGCCCCTGGGTATTTATAGCACTCGCCCGAAATAATGCAATAATAATCACTCAGCACCTTCCTAACAGTTCTGATCCCGGATGCCTGGGGGAATGGTTGCAAAAAGCCTTGGGAAACTGAGGCATGAGCAGTCTGCTTTGATGGGAGGTCTGTGGGGTCAGCATCACGCATGGGGCTGCTCAGGGGAGATTATTTTCACTGTGGTGATGTGAGGAGGGAGAGAACATGCAGAAGGGATATCAGGTCAGTTGGATCGTCAATGAGCCCAGCCCTAGGGTCATGGCCAAGGCTGGGCTATGAGCATCAGAGCTGTAAAAGCCCATTCAGGACATCCCTCCTCCTGGATGTCTTGCCACATGTGTCTTGTGCCAGTGTAAGTCTTGTCAGAGCACGAGGACCTTTGGGATGCAGGGGAAATCCCACCTGGGTCCCCCCAGAGTACATCACTGGTCCTTGATCCTACAACATCACACAAGCAACGCCCCGTGGTGTCCAGGCTGTTAAAGCCCTTCCAAAGAAACAGAAGGAATTGGGGTGGATGGGTACTCATGGTGTGCTGAGCCCTGATGCTCCTATTCTCCCCATCAATCCACAGCATCACTGTACATACACCTTCCGTGCCGCCCCTCCGGCAACACAACGGATGATTGCAACCATTGCCTCTCAAGAAATACAACCTATTTATGGCCAAACAGCCATTGCCCTGCCTGGATAAATCAAAAAGGAAACAAAGCTTTATGGAAAGAAAGCATTAATTTTTTCATGCAGGGATGCGCCAGGCACTCACTGGTTATTTTTGGTGCTCTCTCTTTGCTGGTGCTGCAAATGACACTGTGTTTACCAGAGTTTTTATGTCATCAGAGCAAAGTCACAGCTCGGCTTCCTCTCCTGTGTATTTTATGTAGATGGATGTGCCTGTGAGGAACATTCAAACTAAACAGAGCGCTGGTTTATAGGAAAAAATGTATTTATTTGAAAAACCGTAACTCATAATTGGGGCAAAACCGGGCTCCACGTTTATTGCCGCTAATGGGGTGTGGCGGCCATAAATTAACCTGCAAAACTGCTGGGGCTGGATCAACAAGGGCTCATTGTGCTGGTGGAGCAGAGCGGGGCTCCCCAAAGACAGCCTATGTCAATGTGCAATTAGGTTTGGATGCAAGCAATAGGCAAAGGGAAGGAACAGCAGCCTCACCCCTGGAACCAGCCCTAGAACCGTTGCTCCAAGCTGGTGGGGGTGCCCTGTTTGAAACAGTGCTGCTCCCTCATCTGATTGCCATAGAAATGAGCAGAAGGAGGCTAAGCAGAAGGAGGCTGTACCTGCCATGAAGGGAGTATCTATGATACCCATCATGGACACATAATTGAAGATGATGGAAGAAATGAGTCTGTGAGCTCTGACTGGCAGCGTAGGTGATGCATGTGTATGGAGAGCCCCAGTTGACATCTTTATTGCACTGATGCAGGAGTGATGCTTCTGCCCTAAAGCCTCTTCTTTCCCCACTCAGATTCCCTGCTGAGACCAGCACTGATCCCCCCCCCCCAAAGCCCTGTGGCTGGGGGGCAGGAGATTCCCTGCCATTGGACCGTCATTCCCTGATGCCTTGACTTGTGGTTTAAGTACTGACCCATGGTGGCAGCTCTCCATGCATGGGGAGAAGCAGAGAAGAGCTCCCTGACAAAAACCAGCACCTTCCCCTGCTCCGTCCACTTTCCACTCCTGAAGCAAATTTACAAGGGCTCTAAAATGTCCCGCTCCAGGGCATCAGCCAACTGCTAATGGCTGGGGATTGGGAAAGACATTTCCTCCGCGTGAGAAGGATTGCATAAGCGCTTATTAAGGCAGTTCCTGGCGTTGTCTAAAGCATCTGGTTTGGGGCATAGCTGGAGACAAACTGCTGGCTCTGGATGGGGTAGGTCTGGGACCAATGCTTCCAACTTCCCCTTCGTGGGTGCAGGCTCAGGTCATCTCGATGTGCCAGTGGGAAAAGGAGAGGTGGGTTGTGAGGTGAGATGTGTCTTTGTCCCCCTCTTGGCATAGGGACTGACCTGGCTCCTTGTGTCTTACACAGTGATGTGTGCATTGCAGGTAATTGGCTTTGCCATGGGAGAAAGCTGGTGATGGTGGTCCAGGCCACCAAACTCTTTGGGGATGCTCTAATAAGGCTCCACTGTGCTGCCGGCTCAATGCGGAGTGCTGGCCCTGGGGAGCAGCCAGAGAGCAGCATCCTTCCCTATGGTGTGACCATGTCCCAGTATCCATACTTCCTGCCCTCCTCTCCCTGTGGATCTACCTGGCGGTTTTTATTCACTTTGTCTGTAAGTTTTTGGAGGCAGCTTCACTTCTCATTGCACAGTGCCTTGTGCTGTGTCCGGCTCTGCCTTCCCAGCACTTCTAGGGTAGGAGAATGAGGACAATTAATGGTGCTAACACCAGCTGTTATCCCCAGCTCTCCAAAATCCCAAGACTTCTCTCCTCCTGGGTGCAGGAGCTACTCTGTTCCCACGGGCTGGTATTCCTTAGGTTCTCCTCGCTGCATCCCAAGAGGTTCATGCAGCCACTGGATTGGCCATCAGGTTATAGAGAGTTGCAAGATGGTTTTATCAAGGTTGGGTTTGTTCTTTGCAGCTTGAGGTGGGTTTTAAAATTAACAGCCATCTGTTAAGATTTTTTTGGGGTCTGCAACTGCAAATTATTTGGGGGCTGGAGGTTTTAAACCATTTTAGTGCTTTTTTTGTGCTTTTATAAGTGGAAGGTGGCAGAAGCAAGAGGGCAGCCTGGGATCAGACTGGGGCTGCAAATAGCCTCATTTTTGGAATGCAAGTTTTGGGTCAGTTATTTCTGTTATTTCCTTGGGTTTTGCTTTATGCCCCCACCAAAAAAAAAAACAACCCAACCAAACAGGGAGATAAAGGGGGAATCCTGGAAATCTGATTCTTTCATTAAAAACAACATCTCACACAAAGCTGCTGCTGGCCATGGGCTGTATCCAGCCACACCAGCTTTTATAAGCACAGCCCATGGAAGCTAGTGTTGTGTGGAGGTGTTATATGGGGAACACAGTGTAGCCTGGGAGGGTGGCTGGGCTCTGCTGGAGCTGCCATCCCAGCACTGGAATGTGCTCCCAAAATACACCATCCCAAATGCATTGTAGAGCTGCCAGCCCCATGTTGTGCTGGGGACACCCTCTGTGCCTTCCCTCCCCTGGCCTTGTATCCAAGTATGGGTGGTTTGGGGCAAGAAAACAACTTTTTCTTGAAATTATTATTATTATTTATAAAAGCTGCCCCAGTCTTGCTCCCATCATTCTAACAGCCTCTAGTTTGGGTTCAGGATGGAAATTTGCCTCCCAAGGGCTGGGTTTCCCCTATCCCAAGCTGGGATCCAGCACCCAGTGCATTGGTACCACTGCCTCTGGGGGACCCATGGGCATAGAATGGTGAGGGGGATGTTTGAGGGGGAAAAGGCTCAAATGCATGGGGTGTCGTATTGTCAGTGTGGGCCATGGAGCTGGCTTTCAGGGAGTCATGGGATATGGATGTGCTGTGAAATGTGAATCCAGACCCGCAGAGAATAATGACTTTATTTATCATACATCAATACGCAACTCCTCCTAACATCCTCTGGTGTAGAAAACTTTTAAAACGGAGCTTTTTGGAAGGAAAAACACATTTCTCCCATAAAAATGCCGATCCCACCCCAGTCCTCAAACTGAAACAAAATAGTTTGCTTTGAGCTGAAGACATTTCTGCTCTTGGCTCCCTGTTTCCCAAGCAGAGCAGTGAACATGAAGGAAAAACAAGCCGTCCCCATTAAAACACGCTTAAGTGAAACTCCAGTTTTCTCTAAGACTTTGCTTGGAAACATTTGGAGCAACTTCGTGCGAGCATGTTCTGCCCTTTGAGAAGCCATCAAAGTAAAAAGCACCCAACCCAAACCAGCCATTTCTGCAGGAAGCATCTCGTTTGGACAAAAAGGGGTTGTTTTACACCATAAATCCAAGAAGTCCCTTAGAAATATGCAAAACCTGCCTGCAGTGCTGGTGATGGAGCAACTCCAGGGATGTTTTGCAGGACAAATCCTGGTTGTCTAAGACAGTGAAGCATCTCCAACTTCAGCATGGTGTATTTTCCAAGTGGATGAAGGTTTGTAAAGGTGTGTTCTGGCAGGGAGAGATTTTGGAGCAGTGTTCATCCCTGCTCTGAGTGTCCCCAGTGCTCCTATGGGCTCTCAAAAGAGCCCATCCCATTGGAGATGAGGACACTCACCCTATGACAAGCAAAAACTCTTCCCCAACGCAGCATCAAGAGCTTCATAAAGCCCTTTTATTTTTCATTGGCTCCATGTTACCCTAAAATACAGAAGGAAAAATCTCAGTAATTCCTCGGCCAGTGATATACACACCAGCAATCATCACATGTTTTTTTATATATATATTTATTTATTTATTTATATTTTATATATAGTATATATTGTATATATATGCACAACATATATGTTGTGTGTATATATATATTGAGCATATATATGTTGTGTACTTATATGCTGTGTCTATATATATGGTGCTGCTTTTTCTGCTAGTGGCATCATCAGGCTGTGATTTAAGGACAATTATTTCTATCCCAGGGTCTTCTGCAATGGATTTTTGACATGCAGCTGCCCCCATTATGCAGGCTCAGTGAGACCCTCCCAGGCTGATCAGCTCAACATCTGTGAAATCAGGTAAAAATTGTTATTACTTATGGATTTACATGAACCTGCCTTTATAAGGGGAACTGGAATCCTTCTGGATGCGCACTGCTCCTTGCCATGGTTTTCCTCAGGACAGGACAGGGAGGGAAGGGGCCATGCTGCTGTGAAACCACCATTTGAGGGGGTGGTGGTGGTTTTCTTGAGCCAAACCGGCAAGAAATGTCATGTCTAAAGATGACAGGCTTAATTTGCAGTGTCATTAACCAGAGCCGAAACCCTAGATGGGCTGGGTCTCCTGTGAGCAGCGCGCTCGCTTCCCGCGCCGCAGCTGATCTTTCTCTGATTCTGCCTGATAAAGGCATTTGTGGGCGCATTTCACTCACTCAGACCTCGCTTTCCTTCACGTGGATGTTATTGTTTAATATATGGGATGAGGAAGTGGTTTTTCCCCCTCTCTCAGACACATCCATAGCGAGTGAATGTACCTCCTGTATCCCTATCACCTTGTGCTCCCCCATGTATTTGCAGGGGGTTTAAATGAGCACAAAGCATGACCCTCAGGGAGCATCCCTTCTCACCAGGAATAAAACTTCCATTCCCAAGCTGCCCACATCCTGGAGATCTCATGGATATAAACCCCAGGTTCTGACCCATGGGTAACGTGGTGATGCTGGTGTGAGATGCAGGTGGGCAGTGGGACTGGGAAGACTCACAGAATCCCTGTAACCACCCTTCTCTTGGTCCTGGCTGTGGTTACAAACCACATTCCCAGTTAAAAGCAGCTGCTGAGACCCAAATGTTTTGGATGTGGAGATCTGAGCAAGCTGGGCTTTAACGTGTGGCCACGCCAGTGGCTCTGCTGCACTTATGGGCACCGCACTTAAACTGCTTCTTCTAAAGCACAGAGTTGCTCTGGGCTCAGTGAGCAGAGGCATGAAGCGAAAGGGCTCACATGAAGCTTGCTGGCAAGCAAGAAGTGGAGCTGAGCGTGCTGCCTGACTTCACACGGGGCCAGAGCACGGTAGGAAAAAATACCGCAATAGGCAAAGCATCTCCCGTTTGCCCCTAAGCTCTGGCTCTTCCTGTGCTGATAACAAGCCCTGTAAATCTCCCTGCAGCACTGAGGCATTTTTTCCCCCTCTCCTGCCCTCGCAGTGGTGCCTTGTAAGACACAGGACCTGTGGCAGGGCTGCCTTCCTTGCCCCTCTATGGGGAAATACCCCAGCACAGTGCAGCCCCCTGAGCATCCCGGCAGGCCCCCAGCCCTGGGAAGGCAGCTGGGTGCAGCAGGAGCTGTCTCCTCTCTAATTGTCCCCCTGGAGCTCTGTGGCTGAGCCACTTGCTGATATCTCAGGCCATCAGGGCTGGTGCCGGGCTGGCTCAGGCAAGATGTAGACTGATAGAGCCTCTCCGTCCTGCTGACAGGGATGCAGGGCAAGAGCTGGGGAGGAAAACCTGGAGTATGTGTCCAAACAGTCCATTGCCTTAGTGCTCCAGCTGGAATGGGGAGCTTGTGCAGTGAGCAGGCTGGTGCTCAGCCCCGGCTGTATGAACCTGAGCCACTTAAAATCCCAGACTGGTTTGGGTTGGAAGGGACCTTAAAGCTCATCCAGTTCCAGCCCCCTGTCACAGGCAGGGACTCCTTCCACTAGAGCAGGTTGCTCCAAGCCCCATCCACCAATTGCTGGATGTGTTCGGTGCCATGGATTCGTGGCATTGACCTGAGAGCACTTTAGCATGCTCAAACCCAGGGATGCAATGCTGCTGCTCTGGAAAAGCAGCTCTGTGTGCTCAGCAGCAGGATGGGAGTCATGCTGGGACCACAGGGATGATCATTTCCCATGCAGATGGCCACAATGTCACCTCTTGATCACTTGTTCATGGGTGACAGAGCCAGGACTCCTTTTTAGTCCCACTATGGTGCTGTTCCCTCCCTGCAGCCAGGCCTCTGCCACCAAGTCACCCACAATACTGCCCCATCGGGACCTTCCTCCCTCCCACACCAGCAAACGCTGTTGGTTTTCCTTTTCCTCTCCCAAATTCCTCATAAATTTCCTATTGCCAGTGCCATGTTCCCATTAAACCTCGCAGGATGATTGCATCTGTCAGTGTCACTGTCTGGGGCTGGAATGTGTCACCCTGCTCCAGAGGAGTCATTTATTTCGCTGTAGTGGAGCATTTCAGGACAAAGCACTGGGTTGGATCACAGTGGGACAGTTTTCCTGCAGTGGCAAGCGCTGATCCATCTTGTGCAGTGGGAGGAAAGCGCTGCTGCTGGTTTCTTTCCTATTTAATTTTCCTAAACAGAGGGATGAGGAGCACGAGAGCTGCCCATCAGCAGGATCCTGCGCTGTGCTGGAGCGTCACAAGGAAAGGAAGTTTGCTTCAGAAAGTCTCCATAACCCATGAGTCTGGAGCAGCCATTTCTGTCACCATCCCCATCGTGTCTCACTGCTCCTGTAAGGTCTCTTGGGGTGCCTGGCTGGCAGCAGGGGTGGCCCCATAGCTGTGTGTGCCCTATATGGTGACAAGGGCTGGGGCTTGTAGGGTCTGGGATGTTCATGGTAGTGGAAGCATGTACAGCCTTGTCCTAGCACAACCCGATGTTCCTTCAGGCAGCACAGGCAGGGTATCATCAGTGGTGACAGTGTAGTGATGATGGGGAGCAGTCAACCATGACCTGCCCATGCCCATACCACATGCAGCAGGTCCCCAGTGCTGAGGAGGGGGTTCTTTTGTAGGTATTAGGTGTGATAATGAGACATTCAGGGTTAAAACACAAAATGCAATCAAGCATCTGCTCTTGTTGCCCTTCTAAGTGTGCAGCTGCATGCAGGACCTCTGGGTGCTGGGAAATGCTCTGTCCTGACTATGGCATCCGTCATCCCTGACTGTTCTGGCAGGGATGTGTGTTTGGGGGGACATGGAGTGATGGAGATGAGGATCCAGTGGGACGCCTGGTCACCTCAAGGATGGACACCCTTCCATCCAAGGGTAACCTTCTTCTAGCTGTGCAGCAGGAGCAAGTCATCCTCAGCACAGCGATGAGGGATTCATCTGTCTTTGGGATACATGCCCTTAGGTGGTACTGTGCCACCAGTGAGGGGTTTCCTGCTGCTTATTCCTAGCTACCTGTGCTAGTATCTTCCAGGGAGGCTCAGATGTACTGGGAAGTGCCTCTCCTCAGGGTGCTGCCCAGTGACCTGCACATGGTAAGGGGTGGAAGAGACAGTCAGTCTGTATTGCTTTGTTTACAAGAACATATTTGCAGTGATTGATGCCTGAGCTGGGGAAGTATGCTTGCAAGTGGGACTTTAAAACATGAATCAAACAGTGTTTGGAATATGTACGCTGCTCTGTCAAACATTTCTCGGTGCTTGGAGTCTGCAGAGCCTGCGTGTCCAGAGGTACCCGTGCCTGCGCGGAGGTGTCTGGAGGGGAAGCAGCATCCTTCAACCTCAGCATCACTGCTCCACGCCAAGAGGCTGCTGAGGATGGGCTGGGGTCTGAATCCGTGGTCACTCTGCAGAGGGGTACATGCAGAGGTGTCCTGTTAAGAGCTGTCCATCACAGGACATTCCTTGTGATGCTCCTGTCTGCCAAATCGTCCCCCAGGGCTGCTGAGGAATGAGAGCGGCCCTGAAGGACAGAGTCAGCTTTCAGGCTTCCTTCCCCTCCAGATAACCTGATTGCCCGTGGAGAGAAGAAAGGTCTGGAAGGGGCGGGCTGTATCCAGATGTTCACTAAGTGCATTAAGACCCTCAGCCAGTGGAGCACATGCTTCAGGTTAAGCCCCTGAGCCGTCCCAGCTGCAGCAGTATTAATGAAGTCTTCAGTTAATCGCTTGCTGAATGCTCTCCCTGATAAGGGCTGGGGTGGTTTGTAGTGGGCAAGGAATCTTCTCGGGTTTTCTTTTTGAGTATCCTGCTTGTGAAGTTCTGCATCCCTCCATACCGGCATCGCTGCTGCCATGCCAACCTCCTTTGCCCATGGAGTGAGGTGGGTTTCCCAGTTAATGGTTTTCACATTGTGCAAATGGGATCCCTGTCCCCATGTTCTCTGGAGCTCTGTTTTCTCCTCCATTCATAGGGATGTTACCACAGTGGTACCAGGTGATGTGCCATGCTCAGAGGAGCATCCTTACCCTGGTGATCTGTCCTTGTGAGCAGATACCTGGGGTGATGCCAAACCTGCCCTTCTTCCTGGGAAAGGGATCAGCTGGGGATAGGCTCAGGGGCATGGGTACCAGCTTGCCCGTAAATGATGTTTCCAGCCTTGCATTTGGGACACACAAACTGGGCATCCCTCCAGGATGGGCAGACTTTTCTCCTCTGGCTCTCTGCCCACTGCAGTCCAGGGGGACAGCAGAACTGCCCACCTCCACTCAACCAGCATTCATTCCTTTTCCCCAGGAACCCCAAGAAAACCATTAGACAGATATTTTGGATCAATGAGAACCAGAAGGACCTCTGCTCCTCCAGCCAAGCGAGGACTCTTTTAACTGCGCACACGGAAAACGCATCCCATGAGCAGATCCCCTCCCCTCACAGGTCCGCTTTCGTTGCCTTTTAGCACGAGGGAGATTTATTCACTCTGTGGGCTCTTTAAAAGGTGTTTTCTTTATAGCCAGGCTTCTCCTGCTTTAGGTGAGATTAGGAGGTCGTATTTCATGAGTGCTCGTGGATCCCCTTTCTGAAGCCCTAATGAACTATGGATGAGTGACCGCGGTAATCCAGTCTGTGCAGGAGCTCATTAAAGTCACCGAGTCCACTATAATAACTAGTTGCATCTGATCAGATTACTTCTTCAAGATGCTGTTTCCACTGGTGAACAAGAGCCTGCTCTTATCCTAGTGTGGGCAGCAGGAGCCTTGCTCTGGGCTCGGTGAGCGGGGAGCTGGCTCTTGCCTCGTGCACCATTAACAAGGTACAATATGATGAGCTTACAGTGCAGAAAGGCCATGGGATTTCCCATTGCTGCTTTGCTTGGCCAAGCCCAGCTGGAGCAGGAGCCTCATATTGAGCTGGAGGAAAGCAATGGGCACTAAGGAATGATCCAGCTGTTTCCCAGTTATAAATGGAGATTTTGGGAAAGGGCTGGCAAGCAACTGCCCAGACCCCCATCCAGCCCAGACCTGTGTGAATAGTGTTGGTAAAACAGATCCCAGCACAGTGGTAAAATGGGATGCAGTGGGGTCTCCCCTCCTGCCCCACACTGAGGTGGTCACCCCAGTCCCTTCCTTACTGAAAGCAGAAGCAGGCAGCCCTGCAAATATCCAGAGGAGGAGAGGCAAAAAGGCCAGATCCATCTGCAGAAAGCACAGGCAGGAATTGTTTCTTTGTCTCGGGAAGTGTCAGCGAAAGAAATTCCCTTTGAGGATAGGTTTGTGTTTGCAAGACTTCAAACCCCTCATCTGGACAATAACAGCTTCTGTCTAAGGGAATCAGGCCCGTAAGGTACAGGCCAAGCCTGCAGTATTAGACTGGACAGTAATGAGGGCTCTGGTGCTGATAAGGGCGCAGAGCTCAGCCACCTTCTGCTCTGCTCATGCCAGAGGGGTGAGTGTGCATCCCGCCCGGCTGCGTGCAGGGCTCCCAGCGGCACAGAGGCACCGGGGGATGTAAACAACGGGTAGTCTGGCCTGAACAGGGCTCCCCATTGCTGCTAGAGCTGTGGGGAAATGCTGGGGGGAGTGATGGGAGACAATGCTGTGCCCTGACCCAGCTTAACACCCGCATCCCATGCTCAGCAATAGAGGCAAAAGGGTCCCTATTGGCAGCATAATGTCAAACCCAATTTAATATGGGGTAAAATGATTGTTTTCTCCTTTTGGCTACCCCTGTTCATCCATGGGTTTGCCATAGGACAGCCTGTGGGTCCTTGATGTGCAGGTACAGCAAAACGCGTTCAGAACTAAAAAAGCCATAAAACCCAAGAGTTTTCCTTTGCTGCTTTCTCAGTGGAGCACCATGGCTGGCAAAGGGGCTCGTGCCAGCCCCACGCTGCAGAGGAGGAGGCTGATGCACAGGTCTGCAGGCAAAAGAAGGCCGCCGGGGACTTCTGATCATCTCATTAGCTCACGAGAAAGGCAGAAAATAATTGCTGGGGGTTCAATGCAGCCCATCTGTGTGGGATTTTCTCAATAATAAGTGCATACGGGCTGCTTTTAATGCTTTTCAACATTTTTTCAAGTGAAACATTTCCTAATGCCAAAGCCCAGGTAGAAATCAGTTCCAGCCCTGGGGGCAGCGAGGGGATTGAGAGGCACAGGTCTCAGGTTGACTTTTTAACAGGGTTCACACAAACTATCCTGCCCGTAACGTTCATGTAATTGATGCTTTTGAATACTCGGAGGAGGCCGAGGTCCTCTGAGGCTTTGAAAGTGGGTTTTACAGTATTTTCTGATGTGATATATATAGATATATATAATATAAAACCCCTAATCGTGAGTCAGGCAAGCAAAGCTCCTGGGACTGACTTAGAATTATTTACACACACACACACACCTTTTTAAGTGGTACATTTAAAGCTTTTAAAATGTATCTTTTTTGAACAAAAGTTGATTTTTCACACAGTCGGAGAACTCTGGCAGGTTTGGTGTAAAACCTGCCCCATAGCTGGCTGTAAGGAGGGTTCAAAGCTGATTTGTCTTATTTCCCTGCAAGATGAGGTTTGATCCTTAACTCTGGTCAAGCAGTGAGTCACTGAGAGGAGTTTTGGTTATCGGGACAGATGAAGAGGTGGGCTCAGTCCTTTCCAGATGCTGATTGTGCCAGTCCATGGAAGTGAAGCAGGTAACCAAAGTGATTTCCCTTGGTTTAGGGAACTTCACAGCCATCAACAACACACACACGCTCACTCATTAAAGCCAGGGCTATTAAAGTGACGCTCTGACCCCTGCCAAAAAGCTGCCCTAATAATTTCCCCATGTGGTGAAACCTTGGACATTTAATGTGGTTTCCACCCTGATGAAAGCACTGGGGGCTCTGCCCCCAGCCCACCCCACAGCTTGGCCCCCTCGCCAGCAGCCCCAGTCCTGTCCTATCTGGTAACTGGGAAGAGAGTGAGAAATAACCCTCCTAATCCCTTATCAGGTTTGTACACTTAAGCCCTCTTATAAGTGTTCACTTGCTTCCTTTCCAGCAGCATTGGTTGGATGGGAGCAATGCACCCCACAGGGATCATAGTGGCTCCCCCAGACCCCTCCATGCCTGGACCATGGTGTACAGCTCCCAAATGGAGCTGTACTTCCCAAAGCCCTGGATGTCCCACCCTGGTTCTTCTGCTCGGGGTTGCTTCTATGAGACAAAGCAGACCCTGTCCCCAGTGTCCTCCCCATCCCAGTGCTCCCAAAGCCGTAACAGTGCCCACCCCAAGGACCCCCGCAATAGCATGAGTTCAGTGTCATGGCCAGGGGCTGTTTTAGGGAGGGGGGGTGTTCCTGGGTCACCTTTGGAAAGCTTGCACAGCACAGGAATCTGGCCCAAAGCATTTCAAATATGCCTCGCTGTGGGCTGGAGCTCCGAGCCTGCCTTAAGTGGGCAAGGGATTTAGTAATCACACCTCTCATCGTCCTGCCAAGGGCACGGGAGCCCAGTGCTGGGAGACACAGAATGCTCTCTGAAGGATGAATGTTGCACTGTTTTCCACCTATCCATGAAGCCTGCAGGGGGAAAGGAGGGTTGAACCCAGAATGCTGCACCAGCACTGGCTGTGGCTTGCATGGTAGGGAGCTTGTGGGGTTTTCCAGGGGTTATTGGTTGGTTGGATGATAACCTCCATGGGAAACTATTGTGATTAGTTGATGTTCCAAGAGAGACAAGCAGGAAATGGGAAAATTGGAGTTTTGGGTTTCACAGCTGTCCCCAAAATGCGTATATATATATATAATAGGGAACCATGGAGATTTTGGGGCAGTAAAGCTACTGAGAAGCTTCATCTAAAGGTTGTGATACGCTTTAGGTGACCCCAATTGTCCTGCTTTGTTTTGGGTTTGGACGAGACACTTTCCAGCTTCTAACTATATTTTGCTTAACCCCTTGAAGTCCAAGGTAAGTGAAGTTAGGGCTGAGAGGAAACATCTCCCAGGCATGGAAAAGCAAGTCATGGTTTTAAATGGCACTTGGCCTTTCTCAGCCCATATCCCAGACACCCCTCCGGCCTCACCAGGATTTGATTGGAATTTATAAGTAATGTTGTTTATCCCCAGATTTACACTTTTTATAGTGAAAATACACTTCTCAAACAAATTTCCTATTGGCCATGGAAATGAAAGGGTGGCAGTGGGTTTCTTCCCCACATGGCTTCCCTGCTCCTCCATGAGCAGGGAGACACACACCAGGAGCAGGGTGATCCATCCCAGAAAGTGGGTGACACGCTGGAAATGGGTGACATATGCTGTGAAAGGTGTGATGCATGTCAGGAAGGGATGACACACTGGGAATGAGGTGATAAACACCAGGATGGGGGTGACATATGCTGGGAGGGAGGTGACACACACCACCATGGTGGCTGTAAAGATGCTTGGAAGAGCATGACACATAAGAGGAGCAGGTTTCTAGGAAGGGGGTGACAGACATCATTAAGGGAATGACAGACATTGAGAGGGGGTGACCTAGTGGGAAGGGGGTGACACATGCCAGGAAGGCAGGAGATGGCCACAAGTCCCTGACCAGAAGCTACAGACGGCACAGGGCAGCCAGGACAGCATTGCTGTGCAGTAGCATGGCCAGATCCTGCAGTTTAGGGTCACCTCATCTATCACACATGAGTACCAACGTGCAGGGCAGCACTGACATGGAGCGACTACGTCCCTCTGGCAGCAGTACCCATCACCGGTGCTTGAGCTGTGGCTAATGTCCTTTCACCATGTATTATACAAATCATATAAATAACTCGTCCTCAGACTTCAAACATGCCACTTCAGATGTATGGTGGGAGATTACAGAGTTTGTTAAAGCTCAGGTCTTCAATCATCCGGGCAGTTTCGAAGCTGCTCACTAAAATACAGATCAATGCTTCAGTTTTATGGGAGGCTTTGTCTCATGTGACCAGACTCAAATCCCTTATTTTATGGCTTGCTTATACATTCCTGGTGAAAAACGGTTTACATTTTGGGCCCCGGGAGCTCTCCTAAATCAGCTGCCAGGTTTTTGCAGCTGGTAGTAAAGGGAAGTGCTGTCATCGGGCTGCCCGGAGGTGAACAAACGAGCCGCCAGGCACGGGACTGACAGCTCGCCTGGAGCCATACACCAGCTCCATGGCTGCTACTGTGCCAAGGACACTGCTCCGGTGAGAGGAGTGTGAGGAAACCACCCCCACAGTGGCACCAGCCCAACAACAGCATCCCCCAGGGACCCCAAAGCTTTGGAGACGCATGGATGAAAGGGTTAAGCTGTGTTGGATGGCTGGAGAGGAGAGGGATGCTAATCCCCCGGCTCTGGTCCTGCTAATTATTTGCTGATTCAGCTACTGAGCTGAGCCCAGCCCCAAAGCAGGGCCTTGGCTCTCAGTGCTAGGGATGCTCAGGGCTCAGCATCGCCTGTTTAATGTTGAGAGGAAGAGCTGAGAGCAGTGCCCAAGCCCAGGCTGCCTTCCTGCCTTGGGGCAGCATGTCACAAGCAGGTTTTGCAGGGAAACTGAGGCACAGGTTATCCCTGGGCAGACCCGATAGAGTTGTGATTTTTATCGTGTCTCATCTTCCCACAACCCTGCACCCCTTCCCTTCACTGGTAAGCATGAGACAGAGGGCTGAGGCACTGCAGGGGACACTCAGAGGACCCAGAGCTCTAGTAAGGACTGAAGCTGCCACCCGCTGCAATGGCACAGGGACCTGCAGGGACAGTGTACTCCCACCTTTGCCAACCACATCGCCTCCCCTCCTGTGATGAGCACAGCAAGCTTCCAGTGTGTCCTGGACCTCAGTGGTCCCCTGAGGTCACCACTAACAAAGTCCCCTTCAGAGTCCATAACCCCCCTGTTGTCAGCTACCACCTTGCCTGGGCAGCTCCAGCACTGAGTTATCGCTGCTGAGCAGAGCGCTGTCAGTAGCAGGCGATGGCCGTAACTCCTGCCTGTACAAACACCTCCTCACCCGGCTCCTTCCTGACGGCACCGTGACGGAAAGCAGCTGCTCTGCTGGAGAAGGGACCTTCAGGTTGCTGGCAGCAGACATGGAAAGGAACCTGATGGATGAATGTGGGTGCCTTGTTGTGCTGATGGGGTGAGGAACCCAAGTGAACCTGAAGCCATGATTGGATGTGGTATTATGGGACCCATTGAGCACACAGCTTTACCCTCCTATTGCTTCCCACTGAGGATGCTGGCATGGAAGCACAAAGCCCCACAGGGAGGCGTTGGCTGGCCCGCTCCCTGGCTCTCCTGCATGAGGAGGTTTGTTTCCTCATGGGGTTACCGCAGGTTTTGCCCCAGGATGCCCATTCCCCAGTGACTGAAACTGGCCCCACAAAGACTGCATTTTCTCCAGCAAGTCCCAAAGCAGAGAGTGGAGCTGCTGCTTCCCAACATAGCTGTCCCAAGGTACCTAAATCTGTGATGGGATGGTTGGATGTCATGGGTTTGGAATTGCAGCTGGGCTGATCTCCTCCATCTCCTCCCTAGGTGCAATCCAGTGGTACCCAGGCGGCATCCCAGAAAAGCCCA